CTACACCGCAACCCTCAGACATGGCTGGTCCTGACCTAAGGTGATCCTCCCCCCTCCCAACCACCCTTGTTCCCCCTAAAAATTTGTTAAAACACCCCTTTAAAAAGAACCTCAATTTGGCCAATTTAAATAATTTTCTATTAGCACCCGCAGCATGCCACCTCTCGGGGTTCCAAACCCCATCCTCAAGGTGGGCCCTCGAGATCTTGTTGGGCCAGGCCTGCGCGAGGGGTGAATCGCGCAGGGCCAATAAACAAACATTAATCAAAACAAACAAACATTAATCTTGCTCTCATATAGACACATCCACCGCCTGCCATCTTGACTTTTTTGACCCCCTTGGGCAGGGGGTAGGCAACCTTGGCTCTTTTATGACTCATGGACTTCAACTCCCAGAATCCCTGAGCCAGCATGGCTCAGCTTGGAAACCTCTCCCTTTCCCCTCAGCGTGGCTGGCTCAGGAATTCTGGAAGTTGAAGTCCACGCGTCATAAAAGAGCCAACGTGGCCTACCCCTGTCCTTGGGCTACACTTCCCCTGCAGGTGGGACTAAGCTGGGGACAGAACTATTGAATTTTTCTTTGCCTTCCAAGTAAACTATCCAGCTTCCATGGATGGGATGAACCCAAACCTAGATCATCCCCAAACCATGCCTTTTTTTGGCCGGGAAACACACACACACACACACACACTTTCAACTATTCCCAAAGGGGCCTCAAACAAGCCTGTAATCATGGCTGATAAAAATCAGGCAGAGCTTTGGTCCCATCTGGGATGCCATTTTAACTTTTTTGACACCCCACTGTTCCCCTTTCGATGGGCGGGGGAGCCCCCTGACCTGAGCTGCCTTCATCCATGTCCAGATTCCGGAGGGCCCCCGGCTGGGCCCCTTGCATGACAGCTTCAACCAGCTGGGCAGTTGAACGGCCCGCCTGAGATGGAATTCCTCTTTGTGAACCGGCCTGCGCGTTGCAGCTGAGGTCAGCGGGTTCCAGAATGGCTGGGCTCTCCTGTTGTAAGATGCTGGCTTGCTGGATAAGTCAAGGCAGACCTTGGAACTATAGGAAGTCTTCAATTTAAAACCATTCATTTAGCAACCATTCAAAGTGACAACAGCAATGAAAGAAAAGACTTATGTCCAGTCCTCACAGTTATGACTGGAGCACCATTCCGACAGTCACAGGATCAAAATTCAGGTGCTTGGCAACTGGAAGTCATTTCTGACTTTCCTTGCCGGCTTCTGGTGAGCAAACTCAGTCAGGCAGACTGGATGTGTATAACGACTGCACGATTCACTTAACAACTGCAGTGATTCGCTTCACAACCGAGGCAAAAAAAGATCGTAAAATCAAGTCCAACACCTTTGGCTCAGAAATTGTGGTCCCAGTGGTGGCCGTAACAACCACAACTGAGCCCAGAATTTCTGTTGCTAAGCGAGACAGTTGTTAAGTTAATTTTGCCCCATTTTATGACAATTTCTTGCCACAGTTGATAAGTGAATCACTG